TTCCCTACAATAATTTATGTTTTTATTTAATTAAAGCAAAGAATATTCACGTGTTATACGCTCCGTATAATAAGTAGGGATGGGCGATACGTATATCTATACACGAAAAATCATTTGGGAATTGTTTTTTTAGGGAAAAGAAAAATAATTTTTTAAAAAGATCGGTCTGAAATAGTCTCAAAAATGATTTCTAACTGATATTCTAGAATTTATATTTTCGATTAAAAATGGTCTCGACACTATTTCAAACAAATCAATTTTTTTGTTAAAAAAATCGTTTTTTTTTTACTTTTAAAGGACAATTTTTAACGATCTTTATCGTATCAACACGCATATCGTCTATCCTTATCCGTAAGCAGATAAAATAAAAAATTGTTGCATAAAATGCTGTACTATAGTTTAAAATATCTGAGACAATAATTAATTTTAATTCCTAATAACTTTTGAACGAATAATGAACGGGAGTTACAACCTTTCGAAGGTCACTTAGAGTCATGTCTTTCACAATGTATTTACATACGATAAGGTTAAAATCAACAAAGCTCGGTTCGTTATTGTAAATATTAACCAATTTATTGTTGAATATAATAACATAAAATTGTTAATTCCAAGATATAAATCATACTACAATAATATTTGTATATATTATAAATATACCTTACTTATATAAGTATTGTAAGTATAACTTACTTGATACGTTACAAGCTCTCCCGCTCCACAATATAGCAAAGTATTCATCAATAAGACAGTAATAATTAAAATCGACAAAAATCCTTGTGCAATAATTGATTTATCTGTTTTTCTATTAGCAAATATCTGAAATATATATAATTAATATGAAAACATAAAGAATCTTATGCGTACGTTAAAATATTTTCTCGCATTTGTTTTACTGAATCTTACAATAGTAAATAAAAATCCGCTTAGGCAAAATACAATACCAAAATGGAATACTAATACTAACGTCATTAAAGAGTATGTATTCTCGATATTGTCGGCAAATCTGTGTAAGAATAAAAGTATTCAAAATGGTTATGATAAAAAAATCAATAAAACTATATATATGTGTATATATTAATATATAGGAGAGTTGCCGAATGCGAACATTAGAAATTGTAGCTTGTGGTTTTGGACGCTTATTATTACATGTTTAACTTTCCACCAATAACAAATTAATTTGTTATAAATTTTTTTGTAACATGCTGCAAAAGGTACGATTTAGGCGACCAGTACGCATTCGACAACTCCCTCTATATGTAATATATATTACATAGAGTAATGAAAAAATATCAGGATCCCGAAATATCTCGAAAAATATAAGTTGCATGAACAATTGAACTTACTTTAACAACCTCAGTATCAATAAAAATAAATATTTCATTAAAAAATAATTAATTCAATTTTAATTCAATTTTTATAAACAAATTATTGAAAGAAGTTATGGATCTCCATGCTTGTTACAGAAATAAATAACCTAGCTGTTAATTTAATTGTTCAATTCAAAGTTCAATTCAAAGTTACTATAATGATGATGGTCTTTCACAAAACATAATTGTAAATTAACAATTTCTATTGTTATAAACAATCAAATAAACGAACAATTATTTTTAGATAATTTATTGAATTGAAAGATAAACAAAAACTCATATTATATTTAATTCTATATGCATTAAAGATTAATATGTTTGTTACAATAAATTAACTGTAAATGAAACATTTTAACTGTAAATTAAAAATTTTTAAGTGTAAAATGTTTGTTTAAAAATTATTTACAATAACGTTTCTGAATCAATTTTGTTAAATGTTGTATTGTTACAAAAAAAGTCATACCTGATAAGACGTAGATGGGTGACTACAATGTTGTTTAAAACTTTATTAAAGTTTTTGCATGAAATTAAATTAATTAATCGACATCTAAAATTTTCTAACTGACCACAAATGTGAAAAATCATTAGTACTAGAAGAATATCTACGGACATGTAAATGATAGCTAATAACAAGGACGTTATGGTATGAATGAAAAATGTCAACTCAAATTGTGGACTCTTATTTATGTCGTAGAAATGGTACGTTGCCAACGGTAAAAATTTTCGTCGATCCGTGGAATTTGTTATGTATATTACTTGCATGCCGAAACAAGGAAGAACAATTAATGTGAGGAACCCCATTATAATGAAAACATATTCAATCATCATAATTAATCGCGCTGTTCGTGCTTGTTTTATCATCACATCTCTTTCTCTATCCAGCTTGAATGCCATCCAATCTTCTTCCATCATATTTATAATTGACAAGAGAACTTAAAGATATAAGTAGCTATATAGATAAATGTAAGCATTATTCAAAACGCTAAAATATTGAATTACTTAGACATATGTTGTTATTTGTAAACTAAAGATTACACTAAAGATAGAATCATGCATATTTTATAATTTATTTGCACGTTGCTCTATTTGAGTAAATTATATACTACATAATTTCTGATTTCGTCTATACTATACTCCATAATATATTTGTAGTTATAATTATTTCTCATAAGATCATTTAATACGGAATGTAACGCTAAACAATTTATTTTATATAATTCTGGATATACCTGTTTGTTTCCGTCGTATTATAGCGTATTTCACTGATACTATAAGTATGGGTAACGTTGTCTGCAAATTCTTTATTACAAATATCATATCGCCCCAAACTTCTATAACTGCACATATCATCGGAACATTAGAAACAAATATTAACAAAACGAAAATAATGCCGACCCAAATTTCTGACAACAAGTTTTTCTTAGCATGTTTGCCGGATTTAGGCCACAAACCCACCATTTTGAAACCTAAACGATGCAGATTAACTGCCCACATGAAATCTAATAAATTTTTATAAGATGTAAACGATTTAGTTATAATAATTGCAAACAATTACTTAAATGATTAAATGTTTAAATAGAGAAAAGATGACGACAATGTAATTTTTCAATAAGAGATTAACAAAATTATACATTTACAATATATGATAAACACGGATAACAAACAAAAAAATGTTGAACAAATTAATACCTCGGTATCCTGGAGATCTTGTAATGTCCATATGTCGAAAATTAGAACATGAAATAGAGAGATCTTGTTCTTTCCACGGTATGATGCAGAATGACAATCACGCATGCTCTCCATACAAATGCAAAAACTCGACAGCCTTGTCAAATGCGCATTACATGGCATTAAATATTAAGAACACTGTCCCTAATTATAGCTACTGATATCGTAAGAAAGAATTTTA